GTAAAAAAGGTCTTGTACGTCTACACTGAACCCTCACAGGGACTGCGGGGCCGCATTCAATAGGAAATGGGTTACTTCTTCAAAGTTCTTGGCCCGGAATGGATCCACCAAGCAACAGGAAGACAGATGTTTCTGTAGGTACGTGGAAATCTCATACTGCCAAGTACATCACTCGAAAACTATGAGTTGGAACGGTGCGGCTGGTTTGTGGGTCTTCACTGTGGAGAACATTTGAAGCAGCGAACCTTTTTCCTCTTTCACTGCAGCACATAACTTATCCAACTGTAGCTGATGCAGCAAATCCACCGCCCGTTTTTTTAAAATCCACTGGCTTCTATTCCCTTGAGATTCGTCTCGATGGCCCGTGAGGCCTTCGGCGAGTTTGACCATATCTATCTATCTATCTATCTATCTATCTATCTATCTATCTATCTATCTATCTATCTATCTATCTATCTATCTATCTATCTATCTATCTATCTATCTATCTATCTATCTATCTATCTATCTATCTATCTATCTATCTATCTATCTATCTATCTATCTATCTATCTATCTATCTATCTATCTATCTATCTATCCTATCTATCTATCTATCTATCTATCTATCTATCTATCTATCTATCTATCTGTTTTAATGGCATAACATCACTCTATGACGAGCATAACTGACTAGTCATAACATGAACATCATGGCATGTAAGTCATGAATGTCATGATTTACATGTCGTAGTCTTGCTGGTCTTGCCGTGGTTTCGTTCGCATCCTTAGGACATAATTGAAAAACTTGTATTGCATGACATGGCTGCATGGCGGACATAAGCGCTGGCTTTAACGTGGAAATCATGACATGCATGCCATGTAAGTCATGACTACACGCAATGCGCTCATAATCCGCTCGCGGCCGTTTTGCTCAGTTTCGCACATACAAAATTTGGTATTACGTGATGTGAATGGATGGTGAAGGTAAGTGACACGTCGAAATACGATAATCATGATATGCTTGGCATATAAAACATGACTACATGCTACGCTGAAAGCGTACTCGCGGCCGTTTCGCTAGCTTCACATATACCAAATTTAGTATTGCGGGACGTGAATAGACGACGAAGGTAAGTTACACGTCCAAATATGCTAATGATGGCACGCATGTCATGTAAAACATGACTACATGCTACGCTCATAGCGCGCTCGCGGCTGTTCCGTTAGCTTCACATATACCAAATTTGGTGTTACGTGACGTGAATCGATGATGAACGTATGTGAATGGTGCAAACATAATAATAATGACACGCGTGACTTGTAAGAACATCACATATACCGAATTTGGTGTTACGTGACGTGAATTGATGACGAAGGTAATGTGACTGGTGCAAACATAATAATAATGACATGCGTGACATGTAAGAACATGACTCCATACCACGCTCATAATGCACTAGCGGCCATTTCACTAGCTTCACATATACCGAATTCGGTATTACGTGACGCGAACGTGAATGACACGTCCAAACATGATAATCATGACATGCGTGTCATTTAAAATATGACTACATGCTACGCTCATAGTGCACTCGCGGCCTTTTTGCTAGCTTCCTATATACCAAATTTGTTATTACGCGAAATGAATGGACGATGAAGGTACATCACACGTCCAATATGATAATCGTGATATTCGTGTCATGTCAAACATAACTACATGCTATGATTATAGCGCACTCGCGGCTGTTTAATTAGCTTCACATACATATGACGAACGCACATACCAGGCGGAAATATAATAATCATGACATGGAAGTGATGTACAGCATAATTTACATTGGTACCACTGCTGGGGCTGGTATTGCAAACGTTAGTGGTGCCGCCATTATGCGACTATAAACAACATAATCGCGTCTTATCCAGATACCTGAGTGTATAACATTTCTACTTGCGTTTACTGTGTACTACATCCATGCGCTTCGTTACGTTGTGGTGATATTCAAATGACATATCAAGCTTCCTCCCTTGTGCTTCACTAATCATCGATTCCCGATGTACGTGGCATCAGTTGATTTTGTATTAATAGTGTTATTATTATTTGTGATATTACCCTGTGTTACTCGCGTCTATCTTTTTGTCAGCGATGCTAGCCTTAACATAGAGCACCAGAATATTCATTTTGCCAATTTTTTGCCAGAAATGCTTTGCAATCACTTTTAAAAGCGTTGACAACAGCTCATGAGAGACGCCGGGAATGAGTCACCATAACGCGGACGTTACGTGGCATTTGGCTTAGTAACGTAGCGTGTTTTCATTCCCTCCCGGGCTACGCCAGTGGAACCGAGGATGTATGTGAGAAAGTACTGAACCGCTGATAACTGCGGAGCGTTCACGACGATCTTAGTCAAAGTGAATTTCACGAAGAAAAGTTTACTACGGAAGAAAAAGAAGCTATTGCGTTGATGCAGCATTCAAGAGAACCAATAGATTACTCAAGCTGGATTAAAGCAGAAGGCTGCACGGACGTCTGAAGAAGTGAAGACTAAAATGCAGATTTTTATTTATAAGCCACGGCTAGGTCTGGTTGACTTGATTGACAAGCTTGACGAATCCAGTAAACCACCAGCAATGCTGTCGTGCTCTTTCTCACTATTCGTAAACGTTCGCAGTGATGATATTTGCGCGAAAACACGGGCGCGAACAAAAGCAACACAATGACGAACGTTTGCTAACAAGTGTTTTATTCTTTCAAAAATATTTACTTCTGTGCGCACAAATGATTGCTATCTAGATACAAATATTAACAGCACACGTACAGTGCCTGTGATAACATACGCCCCATAGGTATGAAGAAAGGAGGGAAATTTCTCTTTCAAAAAATGCAACAGGTGGACGGCTAATGCATAATTAGGTTGTGTTTTTTCAATGCAGAGCGCTTACGTTACCCTCCTTGAAGTCTGACCGCGACGTTTAAGTATATTGGTGGGGCTGCTAAAACAAAGTGTGCACGTGCATGCACGAAAGCGCACTGTCAAATGTTTAATACTCGGACGTCCTTTAATAGGAGACTAAAGGAACCTATGAATGAGGTAAGATTGGTAATTTATTTCTAAAAATTAGACTGTCTCCTATATCACCTTCCTATAGGTTTTTCAATACAAGCAAAAATCAAGGTCAAAGTTTATGTGATGGTCGTTGTGCTATATACCACTATATTTCATTTAGGTTCCAGTTTAAGTTTCGCGCCGAAGTCCGCATAGGTGACGTCATGAATTTCACGTTGTTTTTGTTTTTTTCGTGTCATGGCAACATCGGCTCAACGACGTTTCATGAAGTTTTTTTACGTTCAGTCTTTGACCCCCTCACGTAACTTCATTGTACCCACTGCAAGACCTATATATGCATGTAGTGGACGCTGTTTAAATCCGTGACGTCACAGCATTTGATAGAGAAGCGCCACCCGCATTTTCTTCTTTTTGCATGTTTTCTCGTTTCCGAGGGTCTTTACATGCCTCAGTTTATAGGAGAAAAATGTTGTTTTCCTTCAAGGCTGGACATATGTTACTCTAGCCTCGTGTTTGTACATATATCTGCCGGTTTGTCCTAGGTAGACATAACCACAATTCGAGAAACACCACGTCGTGGACTACACGCCATTTACGTGGCTCCACCCCAAGTAAATGTGCTCAACAATAAACTAATATACACTGTAATGTATAATATTTTTTCAAAATTTGACGTCCCTGGACCACTACATGAATATGAGCGACGCTGTAGTGGAGGTCACCGAAAATGCCGGAAACGCCGGTTTGTCCCAAGTATACACATTAATCCAAGTCACGAAAGACGGTGTTGTAGATCACACGCCATTTACCTCACCCCACTTCAGGTGCTCAGGATTGAACTATTAGAAACTAATGTATAATAATTATTCGGGTTTTGCATCCGAAAAACCTTGATATGGTTATCAGGGACGCTGTAGTGGAAGTCACCGGAAATGCCGGAAATGCCAGTTTGTCCCAAGTATACACATTAATCTAAGTCACAAAAGACCACGTCGTAGATTCTTACGCCTTTGACCTGACCCCACCTCAGGTGCTCAGCATTGAACTATTAGAAACTAATGTATAATAATTCTTCAGGTTTTACATCCCAAAAACCTTGATATGGTTATGAGGGACGCTGTAGTGGAAGCCACCGGAAATGCTGGAAATGCCAGTTTGTCCCAAGTATACACATTAATCCAAGTCACGAAAGACCACGTCGTAGAATCACACACCCTTTACCTGACCCCACCTCAGGTGCTCACCATTGAACTATTAAAAACTAATGTATAATAATTCTTCGGGTTTTACATCCCAAAAACCTTTTTATGGTTATGAGGGACGCTGTAGTGGAAGCCACCGGAAATGCCAGAAATGCCAGTTTGTCCCAAGTACACACATTAATCCAAGTCACGAAAGACCACCTCGTAGAATCACACGCCCTTTACCTGACCCCACCTCAGGTGCTCAGCATTGAACTATTAGAAACTAAAGTATAATAATTCGGTTTTACATCCCAAAAACCTTGATATGGTTATGAGGGACGCTGTAGTGGAAGCCACCGGAAATGCCGGAAATGCCAGTTTGTCCCAAGTATACACATTAATCCAAGTCACGAAAGACCACGTCGTAGAATCACACACCCTTTACCTGACCCCACCTCAGGTACTCAGCACTGAACTACTCGAAACTAGTGTATAATAATTCTTCAGATTTTGCGTCCCCCAACCACTATACGATTATAAGGGACTCTGTAGTGGATTTCGCCGGTAATTTCGACCACCTGGGGTTCTATAAGCCGCACCTAATTACACGTGTCTCAAGCATTTTCACCTCCACATAAAATTGCGGCCGCCGCTGACGGAGTTCGATCCTGCGGGTCGGCAGTCGTGCTTGCACCATAGCCACTAGACCACCGTGGCGATTGTATTACCTCGGATTAATGCGGGCGAGTATGCAGGGAGAACCACTCACCTCGGCGCTCCGATGCAGCCGGCAATCCGCGACGGCGCACAGCGCTTGCATCGGCGCGGTCGACGCGTGACTCCGGCAAGCTGTCGAAGACGTGCGGCGGCAATGGCCGGATCATGTCGGCCGTGCGGCGCTGCGTGGCTCCGAGGCTGGACGGGCCCCGCGCGGGCGGTGCCGGCGTCCAGGTGGCGTAGTTCCGCGCCGCCATTCTGTCGGCCCCAAGCGTCACAGCCGCCGGACGCTGCCGGTCCTGCGTGCAAATCAACGCGTCACTGACCACAAGAAATGTGCATGCCACTCGGCTTACGAGAAGTCCGACTCAAGCGTCATCGTTCGCTAATAATTGACAGGCGCGAAAAGAAAAAAGCGAAACCCAGACGGTCAAGCGTAAGGCGCTATCTACAACAGTTTATGAGTTCCACCTACGTGTGAACTACGAGAAATTCGTACTAAAGGCTCCTTCAATTATTTCAAGGCTCTCTTAGTAATCACCAGAGTTTTGATTTTTTAAAACAAAAACTTTTTTTTAATTATCTGATGCTGCCTAAATCCACCAAAAGACACTCTCGTCAGGATATCTCATATTCTCAAATTCGAAAACACATCGCTCACTTGTTTCGGGATACTAAGAATGTCAGTGATATGATACAGGGCGTATCGTTTTAGACGACAAAATGTTTTAATAAGCAACAGTAAGGCGTCTGTCTTTTTCGCATGCGAAATCCATGTCGGGGCAGACATACTTTGTCTAAGGATAGGAACCACGCCCAACCCCAGCTGCCGAATGAAGTCCTGTGGCCAAGCAGCATGCCATCAGCGCGTTCCAACACACATAAATAGAGCGAGTGTGGTGGGCCCGAGGAACTAGCGGGACAGGTCGACTGGACATTGCAATAAAATAAACAGCTGTTACATAAAACGAAGAATGTCTTACTGATTGTGGGCTCCTGTTAAGATGTAAATTAGGCATTACATGCTGAAGGTGAGCGCCTATAAAATAATATGTGAAAGTTCGTATGGGGGATTGTTCTTCCTGTACAACGTGGCATAGGAAGGGTAGGGCCAGTAGCCGGAAGCCCGTGGACACCGAAGGGAAAGCAAAGCCTCCCTGAGAACGCTGCTGTCCTAGTGCTACCCTAGAGATACACTCAGTTTGCCCAGATTTAAAGAAGAAAAAAAAAACCGATTGCAGTGATTGCACGATACGCCAAGATGGGTGCATCACGTGACAAAGAAATAAAGTACGATCGCTGAAAATAGTGTGTCCAGGGTATTTCCGCTCAAGAAGTGGAAGGACAAAATCCCGTGCGTCCTCTATCTTCTGTCTCACTTCTTCGAGAGCGTTTAACCAAATGGATTCAAAAATGCCATAGTGGTTACATGAAATACCTAAAATACAAAGGGACGCAGCTGGTTGAATAGGGGAAACGAAGTTAAGTATGGTGTTTGGAGAGCCAATGAACAAATGCTGATTTTGGAGAAGTGCAGCGCTGCACCTGAAATGTCACCTAACTGAAAGAATAAACGCAGGCTGCGTGAAAGAATATCCTCATCTGAAAGGTAGGGGCTTATGTCGTCCGCAAAAATTGTTACGTAATTTCCCTACACTGCAGCCAGAAAGCACAAGACCCCGGAAGCGCGAATCAACTCCTAGACCACACAGGAACAGCTCAAGGGTGAAGACAAATAGCACAGCAGACAATGGACATCACTGCGGAGCCCACGTGTAATGGAAAATGTAGCGTTTTCCCAGCCATCCAGAACTAGTCAGTTTTTTTATACCAGAGTAGGTATTTTTAATTAATTCCACAAAAGAATAAGGAAAGCCGAAGGCTGTGAGTACATTAGAGATATACGCGTGCTCCAGTTAGTCGAATGTCTTTTCCTGGTCCAAAGACACTAGAAAACCACTGGCAGACAGCGAAAAAATAGAGGCGATGATACCACGGGGTGTAAAGGACAAGCTGTGTGTTTCTAGTGCAGGCACTGGTGAAGCTTGGTGATGACCGATCAGGGTGTTCAGCGAAGGAAACGTTGAATGATTACCGTCCCACATATCTTATAGTCAACGTTAGGCAGCGTCGTCAGCCTCCAATTTTCAGGAACAACAGAGGAAGCGTCACCTCTAGAGATAAGTATAATGCGGCCATCTAGAAATGTGGATGAAAAAACAACAACATCCCCCAAACATTGCCGGATACACGCGGTAATGGCAGCACCAATCTATTTACAAAATGTCAAGTAAAACTCAACTGGAAACCTATCTGGCTCAGTGGCCGTTCCATGTTTCAGAGATTACACTACTGCCTTTACCTCTTCGGGTGATGGAGGGACGCACGGACAATCAGAAGCTTGTTGAGATATACGGGGCAAACCACTGAGCATTGGTGATATTTTATGAGTTTGTCCGCATGGCCGAACATGACATCGCTTCAAAATGCACCAAAATAGATTGATCACGCGTAAAAGCGGTTTCGCAGGTGATATCTGTGTGGTGATAGAAACAGATGGCTGTGACTGCCCAACAAACGATTGCCTTGCATAGCGCAGCACCTCAAGATGTGCACAGGGGTTATGCGTACAACGCCGCGTAGCCGCCGCCAGAGACGAGGCAGCAATCAAGCGCTGGAAGCGTTCACGCAGTTCATGCTGCCAAGCTCGCATCAGGGAAAACAGCGTTTCGGAGCACAAGGCAATGCGTAACTTTGTGGAAGTATCAGCCAGCTCCTCAGAACCGTGACAACAAAGCGAACGCCCTTCAACGGAGCAGTGCAGACGCCGCTGCGTTTTAAGTGCATCCCAATCATCTGGACCAGACGTAGCGATTGGCACAGGTATTGCACGAAACAAACCTAACCATGAGCGCGCGTCCTGGAGAATACGAACATCGACGCCATGGTTTCTCTGAAAACAAAAATGGAAAATTGAGCTCTAAAATGATCAGACGATGGTCCGAGATGTGCACAAAAGAAACTAGGAAAGGCTGAACCCGTAAATTGGAGACAAATGCATCTAAGGCACATGAAATATAGGCCTCGTCGAACTTGCTGCAGAATGGTTCTCGTAGTCTTGCCCAACAAAGGTATTTCCGTGCAAGAACTTGTGTGCATCCAGTAATAAAAGGTGCTGGACACGGCGTCGTAGCCCGCGTAACTTCGCAGGCCGATCCCAGCCAGGATCTTGTACATCGCTTAGCGTATTTAACACAAAGTTGAAGTCTTCAATTATAGTAACGTGGCGACCATAAAAAACATCCGGGTCTCGAAAAAAAAATGTTCGAGTGTCCAGCTTGTGTAGGCCCATAGACACAGAGTATCCTCAATCGAAAAGAAAAGTGGATACAGTCTAGAGCCAGAAAATAACCGACGCCGTCATAAGAAAGATGGTGATCTCTCAATAAAGCCGGATGAAATAATGCAATACCTATTCCAGTGAAACGAGTGGTAGCGAAAAAGATATGGCAATATCACTTAAACTTTCGTTTGAAGCCCCACACGTTAGATAGCAATAAAAAATTAATTTCCTGCAGACACAAAATACCACAATCCGCAGCATGGGTTACCCTAATCACCTCAGGCTGATTTGGCGCACTGCGAAGACGTTCAACGTTCAATGAAATGATACTCAGTACAGTAGCCACTGTAAGTACTAAGACTAAACTGGATGAACAGTTCTAACAGACACGGGAGGGGGTGCCCTTCGAGCACCTCAGTCATTTCTTACGACGTTGTGACTCAGAGAAAGCACGGGGTTTCTGGGGTGGCGTTGATGTGCGCAGGGGACTTCTCTCTCTGCTGGGGGCTTCCAAGTCTATCCGGTGGTTCTTGGTGCCGGAGTTCTTGAGCAAAGATGGTACAAACGCGTCTAAACTGTCCCGGCTGATATCGCTTGATGTACTGTCTTCGTCTGTTCGCACGGCCATCTCTGTCGTGGTGCTGTTTGAGTCCTCATAGATGCAGGCTTCGTCATCTTGGGACACAGCCTCCTCAATGAAAGGAGCATCAACAAAGTACTGGGCAACCATGTGGTGATGGTCGGATATCACGTCTCCCTCTGAAACGCATTCGCTGAAAGTCACCTTGTCTGGCGAGGGCTTGACCTGTGGTTCCATGGGAATAACCACTGGTCGCGGGCCACTGGATGGATTCTCCGGGCCTTGATGGATTGTCTGGTCTGGGTTGGCCGGAGACGGAGTGGTCGTTTGGTGTGGCGCTTGGTGTGTCGTTGCGATTCACCCAGCTTGGTCCTAGCAGATGCTCGGGGCTGGCGTCGACGAGCCGTTGTTTTTGTTATTAGACTTAGATCCTGGTTGAAGTGGTGGTAAATGCTTGCATGTCTCCTCCTAGTACGGCAGCCTGATGGTGCAGGTGACAGTGACATGCGGAACCCCGCAATGGTGACATGGCACTAGCCCTTCCCGTCGTGGTCATAAACGCCGCAACTTCCACAAAACAGAGCTGTGAAATTCACGCAGAAGTGTTCACTGTCTCCACATTGATAGCACATCCACTATATCTCTTTATATTGACAGGTTACTTGATGACCTGTGACCTTGACGAAGTTGCGCACAGGCGACAAGGTGTTAACTTCATCTCGGACGTTCACAGTTCAGCGCCACCTCATGAGTCGTCTGCCGATGTGCAGCACCTTTTTGTAGGGGTAGAACGCTTGCGCGAGGACCCCGCTGGGGATGCAGCACAGCAGGAACAGAACGGTGAATTGGGTGTCTTGAGGCTCCAGGGGCACGAGAGGAACGCGATCTCCTTTGATGATGGGGTGGGACGCGTAGACGAGTTCAGCCAGAGTGGCTGCACTGTTAACGGCAATTTGGTAATTCCGGTGCCCAAAGTGCTGTACACCGTAGACCTTTTCAATTCCTACTATCGAAGTAGGGTCTTCGATAATAGGAATCGTTTCGAGACTAGTCCCCCCGGGCACGACAATGTCGAAAGCTAACGCCTTCTTCGGGTGCTGGCTTGTCATGATGGGCCTCTACCAGCCGACGGACGCCCTGAGACGCTAGCAAAAATGCAACTGACGTAACACTGGCGTAATAAGAAAGCACTAAAAAATAACACGCTCAGGACGGCGCGCAAGCAAAATTTTTGCCTGTCTGCCTTACTGTTGATCTGTCAGTCAAACGATTCCGTTAAGGTAATTTTCAACACCCAGCCATGGTCAAATCACATTGGTCACAATAATAACGCCCGCCGACTAGGTGAGGAGGGGCAAACAACCAAAA